TCATATATCTGAATATAGTATATACTCTATCAACTTATTAATTAAGTCACTAATTTTTTTCTTTTTGGTACCAGGAATTGAACTCAGGGCCTCGCACTTGCCAGGTGGGCACTGTGCTGCTGAGTTACATCCCAGGTCCCATTAATTTGAAGATACATTTACAGTAACATTTCTTTATAATCTTCTGGGAACCAAAATGGATCACAAATGATTTTTTTTACATTAACCAAAACTAAACTGCAACCATTCTTTGGATATTAAATCTAAATGTAAAAATAAGTTGTTTTACTACTTCTAAGATGACAATATGTAACTTATCAACTGGTGATTTCTTACTGTTTATTTTTTCTGTAATTCTGTATTATTTCTACCCTTTTTTCTCCATTTTTTTTTTGTTTCTTTCTCTTTAAATAAAAAAAAAATAAGTTGTTTTACTGTTAAGACTGCTGAAAGATTTTGTTTTGTTTTTGAAACAGGGTCTCACTACATAGTTCAGGCTGGCCTTGAACTTACTATGTAATCAAGGCTGTCCTTGAACTTGCAGTGATTTTTCTGTCTCAGCTTCCCTAGTGCTACTGTACCCAACCTTAAAAAGATTGTTTTTGAAAAGTAAATAATTACTGAGCTGCATGATGAATAATCTGTGCCCTTTTATGTATGAATTATCTCAACTGAAATTATAAAAATGAAAGATTATTACCTGCTGTACTATTCTTTGTTCCAGCACATCAGATGTTACCTGTATATGAATTGTTCCTGCCACAATACTGGCAGAATGACGCCAGAAATGAGGGTCTCGGTATGATATTAATCCTTCAATTTTCTGTATCTGTCAAATAAAAGGAGAGGTGATATAAATGTTCTTACAGGCTAACTTACTTAACATAATGGGGATGTTTTGTGCTAGAAAGTAAACAGATTCTTTGGTCTAGGAAGCATTACGGTAAAAAACAAAATGCCACAAGTGGTAAGAAATAGGAGAAAGATAGCTAGCTTCAAGTAAAGGTGTCCCTCACTGCTATAATGCATGATTTGTCTACTGTAAACATCACCTTTACATGCAATAACATATAAGAGAATACATTCAAAAGATATCCTTTATGTCCCATAATAGGCGATCAGTTAAATTATTGCTACCCATGTAATATAATACTATACTACTGTTAAAACTGTTAGATGCCAGGTACAGTGGCACATACCTGTAATCCCAGCTTCCTGGAAGCCTGAAGCAGGAGAAACTAAAGTTTGAGCAATGTAGTAAGATCCTGTCTCAAAACTAAAAAAAAAATCTAGGTATGATGGTACACCTTAGTAATCCTAGCACTCGGGAGGCTAAGGCAGAAAGGTTGCAAGTTTGAGATAAAAGGTGAGAAAACTTCTTATTTATGAAAACAAATTAGGTGCTATAATTTAAACAGTCATAATGCCAAGACTGGGACTGGGGTGTAGGTCAAATGATAAAGCACGTATTTAGAATGCACAGGGATGTGGGTTTGACTTCCAGCACACACACACACACAAAATTCAAAGGCCAACATTTCCTTGTTTTTAAAATTAGTTTAAAAAATTTTATTAGTACATGTTTTCAGTATATAAAGATTACATTCATTGTTGTTTCTTTTTATTTGCTTCTGTGTGTCTTAATTAACTTTATGTTCAATTCTAGAAATGCAGTTTATGGACAACACTTCATCCCATAATCATGATGGCAATTTTTCAGCAGTAAATTCCAATTACTTTGAAATGGCAAGGCATGTGGTTAAAATATCCTATTCTGTATTTGTTTCTTTTTTTACTGTTTTGAGACCCCCTATGTAGGCATGGTACACACCTCTAATCTTAGCACCTGGGAGGCTAAGGCAGAAAGATCACCTTGAGTTTGAAGCCAGCCTGGAGTACAAAATGAGTTTCGAGGCCAGCCTGAAATACACAGGGAGACCTTGTCTCAAAAAACAAACAGCATTCTTTGCAGAGTTGGGTTGGGGGCCATGAAATCCCACAGTTCCTCCTTGTCTTGGAAATATCTTGTTTCTCCATTAATTTTGAGAGAGTTCTTCTGGGTACATCAGTCTTGGTTGCAAATTATTTTCTTTCAGGGCTTGGACTATTTGCCCCCAGGCTCTTCTTGATTTTAGTTTGTGTTGATAAGTCTGTTGTTATTTGGATAATTTTTCCCTTGTAGGTAATCTGCTTCTTTTCCCTGGCTGCTTTTAGTATTCTTTCTTTTGGTGGACTTCTGGAATCTTGAATATTATATGTCTGGATATAGATCTGTTTTGGTTGTAGGTGGCTGGAGTTCTGTACGCTTCATTTATCTGGATATCATTTCTTTTTCCTATGCTTGAGAAGTTTTTCCTTTAATATATCTGTGAATATTCTTTGTAGTTCATTTTTGGTTACTCCTGCTTCCTCACTCACATGTTTTATTCTTAAGTTATGTATCCTTTTGTCGTCTTGTAGCCTTTGAGTTCTTTCTAGCTCCTCATTATTTTTAAGAGGTCTTTTCTAGGGGCTGGAGATTTAGCTCAGTAGCATAAGCACCTGCCTTGCAAGCAGGTGGTCGTGAGTTTGATCCCTGGTACCGATAACAATGAAAAAGACAAAAAAAAAAAAAAAAAAAAAGAGGTCTTTTGTTTCATGATCATGTATCATAAATCTTTCTTCAAGTTTCAAAAGGCTAACTTTAGTTTCTGTCAAGGCATTTTGCCAGTTTTCAATAGAGTTTTTAGTTTCCTAGTAATCTCTTTGGATCTGTTTCAGGTATTCTAGGTTATGTTTAAATTCTTCATCAGAGGTTTCGCTTTCTTTTCTGATTTCCTCTGTTCGTCCATCTGTGTTCTCTTGGGAGGGGCTTACCGTTTCTTTAATTAATCTTTTTATATCTTGCTTCACTTGGATCAGAAGTAGTTTTAAATTCATCTATCAGGTCATGAAGGTATTTCTTTATGTCCGCTGATGCTATGTCTAGTATTGGATGGTTACTGTACTGGTTCTTTTCTGTATTTACTTGTCCTGGGCTTATTTTCCCAGGTTCGGCAGCTGGAAATTTTATTTGTATCTCTTGTCATGTTTCTGGTTTCTTTCAGACTGGTGTGTTCTAGGGGGTCTCTGGCACTCTCAGTATTGCTTAGGGTCTTTCCGAAGCATGCTGATTGGAGTTTTTGCTGCCCTCGCAATTTGCTGTTATCTGAGGTACACGCAGGAATGCAGGGACAGTACAGACTAGCCTTGAGCTTCTGAGCCAGTCAATCTGCAAGTTAGGCTGTACCTTGTGGAGTACCTGTACCTGTACAGAGTCGTGACAATTTTGTACTGCTTACTGGGATGCAACCAGAGGCGTAGCTCAGCTCCAGCAGATTGTGCCAGTTCTCTCTGTACCAGAGGTGGCTGACTAATGTCACCGTGGCGCTGGGCTCTGACCAACTCCAAGCGGTCTTCCACCAGACCTCTCTGTGCCAGGGATGACTATCTGACATCACTGCAGCACCGCGCTCTGCCCAACTCCAAGATGTCCTCCACCAGTCCTCTCTGTGTCACTGATGCCAGGCAGCACTGGGCTCTGCCCAATTCCAAGATGTCCTCCAGCCAGTGACAGCAAGCCGTGGGACCCAATCCCTAGCACTCACCAGAAATCAATGCAGATCTTCCTCTTGGGTCCACTGCATACTGCACCGCGTGTCTTCACTGCGTTCCCAGCACAGCGCGGATCAGTCAGAAAACTGCGTGATGTCCGGCTTCGGAGCCCAGGAGCTTCTTGCCATTTCTTCTGGTGTGGCCAGGTGGCTCTGGCTGCTTTGCAAAGCCCCAGGTCCCAATTTCCAGCAGTCGCTGAGAGCCAATATAGCTCTTCCCCTTGAATCCACTGCTCACTGCACTGCGTCTTCCTGTTAATGGGTTTAAATTCTAGCAATAAATTAACTCACTATAGACAACTTAGCAGCATCAACTCTGGATATAACCATTACCCAGCTTGAGGGTCTCCTAGGGTATTGCCTATACATGCTAAAGGACATTCCAGAGAGAGAGAGAGAGAGAGAAGGGATACCAGGAGTCCAGCAACAGTGGCAGAGAGACCTCAATGAATGGGGCAGACAGTGGAATGAGGCAGTAAGGTAGACAAATTATAGCAGTAAAGTGGAGTAGCAGACATGAGGCAGAGACGGTAGTAATATAGATAGCCTTGATACACTAAAATAAAAAAAAAAACAGGCAGAGTAGATTAGGAGGCAGGCTCCATCGAGATGCTCTGAATGGGAAATACACTCAACCCAAAGGAGGGTAAATAAACTGAAAGTCACGAGAAAGCAAAGCTATATGTGATAAGAAACTAGAGAGAAATAGGGACAACTCTTCCAGCAGCCGCAGACAGATTGGAAAGCTATGACACTTTTGGGCAGTGCAGAACTACACACGTGGAAGGAAAATGCTATGACTTTAGTGAGTAAAGGAGTATAGCTCAAGATCAAGCTCAGAGGTAGAAAGGTTCAGCAACACTCAGATAGACAACGGGCTGGCCCCCTAATCTCAAAACTAAAGAGGCTAGTGAGACCCAAAACATACAAAGCATCCGGAGAAGGGGAAAGGTGAAAAATAGCCTAAAAAGGGAAGGCAGAGGTCATTATTGATAGTGTACAGGATTTAAAAGTCACAGTAGTCTTATCGCTCTGTTTAGTTTTATTTTGTCCAGTCTGTCTACCCAGATCAGATTTGAGAGCATAGACATCTAACCCAAAAATAGCAGGTTATACCATGGTAATCCCTTAAGTTAATTTCCTATTAACTTAACGGAAATCTTGTATTACTTATACATTGTCTTACTATGACTGATCTTATTTGAATCTGGTTTGTTAGACTGCGGTTTTGCCTTGGCTGATTTTATTCAAACTTGGTATGCTTGATAGTATCAAGTCTTAGAGGCAACTACTCTGAAGATAACAAGATATAAAAGATATCCATACCGGTTTTGATTAACTGCTCTCAAGTCTTACAATGTTTTCAAAGTTGTGTTTTTATAAAAATAGCTATGTAATACTATGCTTAACTATACCAAGCCTGATGATATGGACAAGTGTATTGAAAATAACAAGAAAGGATAGTAACTACGGTAGATCACCTAATATTGTGTCTTATGTGTCTTTTTCATTGCATGTTTTTCTAGGAATTTGTTTTGTTTTCTTTTTATGATCTGTTTTTCCCTATAATACAGGGAGGATAGATATACGTGTCAAAATTCACACATGGGAAGAATTTTTTAAACTATTTATGGAAACAGATTATATAATGCAAGATGTAATGAACAGATACTCTGAAGAAGAGACACTAAGAAACCCAATGCTAATTCTGTAACATTATGATATAAAATCCTAGCAATACTATTTTTTTATTTTTGTCTTTTTCCTTTTTATCGGTACCAGGGATCGAACTCACGACTGCCTGCTTACAAGGCAGGTGCTTATGCCGCTGAGCTAAATCCCCAGCACCCCCTAGCAATACTATTATTCACTGCTCAGAGTGATATTAGTCTAGTCTCTTAAGTTCAATTTCAGCATATGTACAGGTAAGGATAGCTACTACAAAGAGAATGAGACATTATGGTGGTCATTGACTTCCCCAATGTCTGATCTTGAGGACCTAAAAAGCTTTCATCATCCTGTAATGATTTGATTAGTTCTATAATACGCAGTATGCATTCAATGTTGTAAAGATGAGGACAACTATTTGGAAGAAAACTAGAGACAATAAGATAGACAGTGAAGATCTCCAGTGGACTTGCTCTGAAATCTGTATTTCTTTAAATTGTTTCTTTATGAACTGTTTTGTTCTGTTTTGATATGTTTAATTTTACCCTCTTTAAGATAAAAAGTGTATAGGACTGATAACCATATAACTAAGTTTTTGTTGGGTCACTGAGCAGAACTGTTGACGGTGTTACTATTTGAATGTCACTTGTATGCTTTAATTTTGTAACCTGAACAACTATTTCTAAAATGACAATATGTAACTTATCAACTAGTGATTTATTTTTATGTAATTCTGTATTATTTTTACCCTTTTTTCTCCATTTTTTTCTCTTTAAATAATAACAAAATAAGTAAACAACGCCAACCAAAACAAACAAAAAGACTTTCACTATTTCTGTAACTACAAAAATATTCTATTTTAATAGTTCCATAATTTTTTGTCAACTATATACTTAACCTGTTAGAAATACACAGCATAGCTGTGGTGGGCGCTGTCGGCATTGCGGGCCCAGGGCAATGGGACATCTTCCCGGGACCGACCTGTGTGCTGGTCCCGCAGTGACAGGTTTCCGACATCTCTCGATGGAGGCTCCCACAGCCCCGTGGGCTTGGGCCTCAGGGAGTTCTGGAAATCGAACTTAGAATCTTGTGCTGGCTAGCTCAATAGTGAGTAAAGAGATGTCTCCAAGAAAGCAACTGTCAAAGGACAGTGAAAATCTTGAGAAGGATGAAGACCAATGAAACTCTCCATAGGAGTCCCTAGAAGCACTTAGAAATGGTCGAATTGACATAAAACAGTTGATAGCAAAGAAGAGACAGCTGGCAGTAGAGGCAGAGCAATTGAAGCCACATTTTTTAAAGGAAGTCAGTAGTCACTTTGATGATATTGTGACTACTCTCACTGAAAAATCTGTCTCATTAGACAATGGTGGTTCTGCTCTTACAACTTTTTCCATTCTTGAAGAAATGAAAAATGATCATAGAACTAAAGATATGAGAGCACCTCCAGAACAAAGAAAGATTTTTATTTCAAGACGCTCTATCTTGGATGAGCTGTTTGAAGTGGACCACATCAGGACAATATATCACATGTTTATTGCCATCCTCATCACACTTGTAGTAGATTATATTGATGAAGGAAGGCTGGTGCTTGAATTCAATCTCCTGTCTTACGCATTTGGCAAATTTAGTATTGTTATTTGAACATGGTGGGCCATGTTCTTGACTACATTGTTGATTCCCTACTTATTTCAGTGTTGAGCCAATGGCTACAGGAAGAGTTCTCATCCAATTATTTCTTCTATGGTCTGTGGCTTGTTTTTCACATTCTTCCAGCTTGGGATTCTAGGTGTGGGACCAACATATATTGTATCAGTATATGCACTGCCACCAGCTTCCCGGTTCATTGTTATACTCGAACAGATTTGTTTGATAATGAAGGCCCACTATTTTGTCAGACAGAAGGTGCCAAGAGTACTAAATGCAGCTACGGAGAAGTCAAGCACAGTCCCCATACCCACAGTCAACCAGCACTTACACTTCTTGTTTGCTCCTACACTTATCTACAGGGACAGCTATCCAAGAACTCCTACTATAAGATGGCATTATGTTGCTATGCAGTTTGCACAGGTTTTCAGTTGCTTGTTTTATGTGTACTACATCTTTGAAAGGCTTTGCGCACTGTTGTTTAGGAATATCAAACAGGAACCCTTCAACACTGGTGTCCTGGTCCTGTGTGTATTTAATTCCATCTTGTCAGGTTTGCTGATGATGTTCCTTTCTTTTTTTTGCCTTTTTGCACTGCTGGCTCAATGCCTTTGCAAAGATGTTATGATTTGGTGACAGGATGTTTTACAAGGATTGGTGGAATTCGACATCATACTCTAACTATTATAGAACTTGGAATGTGGTAGTCCATGACTGGCTATACTACTATGTTTACAGGGACCTGCTTTGGTTTTTTTCAAAGAGGTTCAAACCTGCTGCCATGTTAGCTGTCTTCACTTTATCTGCTATAGTTCATGAATATGCCCTGGCTGTTTGCTTGAGTTATTTCTATCCAGTCCTCTTCATGTTCTTTGGAATGGTTTTCAACTTTATTGTCAATGATACTCAGAAAAGGCCAATTTGGAACATTATGATGTGAGCTTCCCTTTCCTTGGGCCAGGGAGTACTTGTTTGCTTTTGTTCTCAAGAATGGTATGCATGTCAACACTGTCCTCGAAAAACCCCACATTTCTGGATTATGTCCGGCCATGTTTCTGTACTTGTCGATATGTATTTTAGAAGATCGGGCTTTTATTTTTTTCTTTGTCACCAAAGATATGAATGTTCTCCCTGATTCAAGGCTGTTTCCAGCTGTTACCAAAGTTCAGACCACTGCAGCCTTCACAGCACATCGTGACTCACTACATTCCTAGTCCACCTGAAGCTGGGCTAAGCCCACTGGATTCTTGTATTCTTTTTTTTCTTCTTCTTAACTTTATCTTTTTTGGGAGAAAGGAGACTTGTAGCTGAGGTAATGACAGATTTTTTGCTGTGTCATCTCACCTTAAACCCTGGTTATTGTCTGTTTCATGACCCTCTCCAATCAGAATCTAAACATCTCACTTTTTTTTGGCCACTGAATTATCGAAAAACACTTAGGAAGAGTAAAACCAGTAAGTGCATCTATCTGCCTTAGAATTTTTTTCTATGCACATCGTTGAAAGTTATGCTAATTAAACATGCAATTGGAGAAGACAGGTAAATAACATGTAACAGTATTTGCTATTTCTAGTAGAAAGGGAAAGTAATCTATTTTCCAAAGATAATCTTATTATGTACCTTATTTTGTATTGCTTTTAAAGTTCAAATCTATTCAGCGTTTTTTCCTTCTCTGTGCAATTTAGGCCACAATTTTTGTGAAGCAATTAACTATCTCTCCCCTTGAATTCTTGAGTTTGTATCTATAATAATAAATATATTGAGGAGGGGGTCAGTAGGAAGGGAAAACGAAGTGCACATGATAAAAAAATTTGCTCTTAAAACTTCTAAAGTAAATTTTTAAAAGATTTGCTGAGTTAATTATGTGTTCAAAGTAGTTTATTGTGTAATTTACATAGAAGATTTTTTTAACTTATTTGAAGTTAGAAGTATGCTTTGGTACAGTTATTTTATTGTCTAATAAATACTGACCAATTATTTTGCAGACTAGTGAGTCTGTAACATAAGAATTAATCACTTTCATTAATATTCAAGTAGTCATTAAGGATCCAGAAGCTGGCTTCTGAAGTATTTGTTCAGTTGTTACGGTTTTAATGGTATGGTATTTTTAGATGAAACAAATTAGTATGTAATTGTTTTAAGGAAATTAGTATAGGATTATTTTTAAGGGACTTTTCTATTTGTGGTGTATCCAGGTTATAAGATGCCCACTCTGAAAACAGGGTGGAAGGTAGGGGTTATTTTGTCTGCCTGTATGAGGTATGCTTATGTTTGTAAAGACTGCACTAGAAGGGACCATATAAATCAACTTTCTACCCAAAGAAGTGAGATTTATGAATTATTCAAAGTTATGGCTAATTGGAGCAGCTACTTGACTTTTTTGGATTTGGGAAGTTTTGCAGAATTTTTTAAAAAGACAATTACAATCTCCCAAGTAGATAATCTAGTTTTGTAATAATCACATGTAATGTGGATCACAAGCATCTGGCGGAATCATCCTTTTTATTCACCGTAACTTTGATCCAGATGAGCTGAGGAAGTTTTAAACAAATCAACAACAAACATGCGCCCCAAGAGGGGTTATTTTTAAATGGATATTCTGTTGTGCCTCCACTAAGTAATATTCTGCACAGTACCATAAATGGAGTAAAGCTGTAACCACCAACAGGATTCTGGCATTTTTTTTTCTGAAAATCAGAATGAGTCAGTCATTTGAATTTAACTACTTTTGAAAAATAATAAAAAAATAAATAGTTCTAAGAGTTGGTTATGAATCTAGTGAAGCGAGAGTCAATCTTTTGAAGTGAAAGAATGGAATTTTAAGGGGTATATTTCTGTTATTACTATAAATGTGCATTCTTATGAGAGGACTTTGTTGTTCTACAGTGATTGTGAATACTGCATTTGTTGGACTGATGCAAACTTTAAAAAAAATTTTTTTTTAATGCATTACTGGGGATTGAACCCAGAAGCATTCTAACATTGAGCTACATTCCTGCTCCTTTTATTTCATTTTTTAAATGTTTATTTTTTTTTTCTAAAGACAAATTCTCACTGTGTAGTTCAGACTGTCCTTGAACTCATAGTGATCCTCCTACCTCAGCCTTCTAAGTACTGGTGTTATGGGTATGTACCACCACACTTGGCTACTTATTTTTAATTTGAGATAGGGTTTTACTAAATTGCCATGCTGTGCTCAAATCTGTAAGCTTCTTGCCTCAGCCTCTAAATTCTGGGGTTATTGGGATACAGCACTGCACCCTTTTGATTAAAGCTGCAAATAAATACATAAATTAAAAAAAAAGAAATATACAGCATAGAGATGCAGTTTTTTTGCCAGGCATGGTGGTACACGCCTATAATCCCAGCACTCAGGAAACCTGAGGCAGGAGGATCACCTTGAGTTTGAGGCCAGCCTAGGCTACAAGAGAGATCAACATCAGCCTGAATTGCATAGCGAAACCTTGTCTAAAAACCCAAACAAACAAAAAAGCATACTTTTTCTATTTTTTAGTCAATGCTTACTGCCTTACAATAATTACTTGTAATGTGTCTAATAAACCGAAGAGTCTTTCACATGGTAAGTGTCTTTCACATGATAATTACACATTCAGTTTTTCGAGTGGCACATTACTGTCTGTTTAAAGGAAATGCTAATCCAAGCTGAAGTTTGACTATATTGTTCTTTCCTTAGTAAGACCACTTCTGAAGACAAGAAGAGATAAAAGAGCCTGGTAGGAGAGTTCCTGGGAATGAGGCATGGGAGGAAAGTGGACTGCACTGAGCAAACAAGAAGGAGGGAGGGAATTTGCGGTAGGAGGCTGATGGAGCAGAGAGGCTCACAGGTTCCAAGTGAGTCCCTGTGGGACAAACCCGTCTTACAATATGGCCATCAGGTGTAACAAGAATGAGGTACGGATGAGCAGATTAACCCCAGTTCTCTTGACGGTGATAATCTGACATTATGAGCCTTTACAGATAATGAACCAACTTGGGATATGAACATACATGGATGCAAACAAATCTTGGAAGTATTTCACATGTCTGCCAGTGTAGTGGACTGACAACTGGTGGTCAACTTTTAACACCCAGCTGAACTGAATCAGCATGGTGCTGGATGTGGAGAGCCCAACTGCGGATTGTTGTCAACATAAAAAGGATAACTGAAGAGGAAGAGGTGACGCTGTTGCTTTTTCTAGAGGAGCTCGTTGAACTTCTGATCTGAACTGGCTGTCTTCATTGTCAGAGGAGCTTAGGACCTTGTCCCTCAGAATGGATGCGGTTCACTTTAAGGAAGCTCTGCTCTTTACTGCTTCCTGGCTCTGGAGGAGAAGATGTTTACTTTCCTGGAGAAGCTTGTAGCACTAACTTCCTGATATTAACTCAGCTGTTATCATCTGAGGAGCTTAGAACCTTGTTTCTGATGGCTGTTGTCCTTACTTTGAGTGTCTTCCTGACTCCTGTGCAGATCCCTCAGCCTGCTTGGCACAGATTCTTCATTGGCTGGCACCGACTTTCTAGCTTCCACTCCTGACCTTTGGGCCTTCCTACCACAGATCCATTAAACAGACTTGCATGAGGCATTGTCATGGGCTCTAGGTCTTCAACTGGACTCATGTAGGACATGGCCATGGGATCCAGGCCTTTAGCTGGATTCTTTGCATCTTTAGCGTGCGGACAGATTTCCTGTACTTTTTTGTGTTTGACTCTTTGGGTAACTATTATAAAATATTTCTATCAATTATGGATCCTGTATTAAACCATTTTCCTTGCAAACTGTGACTACAACAACCGATAAAAAGAGTTCGATAGTATTTCTGCATTTTTTTTTTTTTTTTAAACATTGTATATTTGTGTCAAAGGTGCAGTTGGATTTAGGAAGATTCTCTTCCTAAGTAGGGGACATAATGTATCGACAACATGTGCTACAGAAGTCATGTCCACAATAGTGCAAAGCCTACAGTGATTACCACATTGTAATATTTACAAGGGTTTTAAAGGTCACAAAGCCTTAAAATAGCAATTGCCTCCTCTGTACCCCCAGGCCTCAGCTTCTCTGCAAAGTGGGACACGGGAAAGAAATCTTGAGCATACTGCATACCAGCAGCTGAGAATAGTGGTTGAGGATCCTATGAAAATGCAGGTCCTGACCCAGGAGGTCTGGGCTGGGAGCTGAAGTTCCAGATGTCTAGCAGGTTTTGGACGATGCAGTGGGGGGCTCAAGTGCAGGGCCCAATATAGTCTCCACCCTTATTTCAGTGTATAGGAGGCTGAGCACTACTAGGCAGCTGTGGGGGCAGTGCACCAAGGCATGCCCACCACGGGCTCTTGCCTGCGCTTAAAACCCTGTGTAGGACACTACCGAAGCGGGGATTAGCACTACTCCAGTTTTGTTCAGTTTCCTGTAGTTAATGATTTTTTTTCTGAAAACTCCAGACAGCCTGCACCAGAAAAAACTGGGACCAACAGGAAAGAAAGGGCTGTACCTGCTTCAGTCCTAAGACAGTCAATATAGCTTTGCTTTCCCAGCAAATGGCAATGTGGTCAGTTGGCTGATTAGGCAAAATTTTTGTTTTGTTTTGATTTAGTTTTCTGAGACAGGCTCTTTCTGTGTAGTTTAGGCTGGCCTTGGGCTCATGGCATTCTTCCTTTCTGCCTTAGTCTGCCCAGTGCTGGGTGGCATGGACCACCATGCCTAGCCTAGCAAAGTATTTATGGCTAATCTGAAGTGCCATCTTTGCCATATATTTAATTCCATTAATTCCTAGGTCTGTTTCTGAACAAACTATTTCCTTTTTTCATGGTGCCGGGAATTGAATCCATGGGTGCTCTACCACTGAGTTACATCCCCAGTCCTTTTTAAAATTTTATTTTGAGAGAAAGTTTCACAGTAAAGCTGGGCATACTGGCACAATCCCAGTGCTCAGCAGGCTGAGGCAGGAGGATCCCCTTAAGTTCGAGGCCAGTCTGGGATATGTGAGTTGAAGGTCAGCCTGGACTACATAGACCCTGTCTTAAACATACACTCACCGTTTTCCAATCTAGCACTGAATTTGTGATTCTCCTGCCTCAGCTTCCCCAGGAGCTGGAATTACAGGCACATGTCAGCAGGTCTTACAAACTATTATTTTTTAAAAAATTGATTTATGTGTTTATTCTGGTGGAAGGACAAAATGTTAGCTCTGTATGTTAATTTTGTAACTTTAAAATTATAAAAATGATTCTACTAGTTAATTTTATAAATTTATGGGTACCTTTTTATTTTCAAATCCCGATTCTTCCAAATAAACTCCAAATAATACTGAATTATCAACCCTCCAAAACAACAACAAACAAACTCCTAATGAGGGGCAACTGAATCAAGATTTAGAAAAAAAGAAAATCAACATTTTCATGACAGTGTTCCCATCCACGAAGTATTGCTCTATATTTAACCAGTCCTTCTTTCATGCCCTTTAAGTAAAAATGTATTTTCTTCATTCACGTTTTATATGTATTTTCTCTATTCACATATTTGTGAGGTCAACTTAATTTGGAAGGCCATTTTTAAATGAAAAATATTAGTGAAAAAATTGTATACAGTACCTTTTCTAAAGCAGTGTGTAATTCCTTTTCATGTTCTGGCGGCAGCCTTAGAAGCAGGACTTGACAGGCATCTTTAATCAGTGGGACAACACTGAGAAATATTAACACAGCAATAAAAAGAGAACAGAGGGGATCGGCAACGAACCACCCGAACTGCTCTATCAGAACTGTAGACACGATCACACCAATACTGCCAAGTGTGTCTGCCAAAACATGCAGAAATACACCTACAGATAAAATATATAAGAACATTACAAATTAAGGGCATCTCATTGAATTCTTTCATCTATTCTACTAATATGGCTGGGTAGCAACTAGGCACCATGCACTTTGCTAGTGTCTGGTAATTCAAAACGCCTAAGACAGGTCACAGTTTCAAAGCATTCTGAGCACAGTAAAAAGGTAAAGATGGGACAAACTAAGGACATGGATTGGTGAGTTTAAGACTCTGGTTTGTCTGGGAAGGCATCAAAAAAACTCATGCTTGAATCAGTTTTTGACTTATCCAAGTTCTTTATGTTAAACAGGAAAAAAAGAGATTAATAAACCCTCATATTTATCATACAACATCTCCTTCCCTTTTTAGTGTGTGTTCATAATAGCAAAGTCTTCCCCTGCAATCAGTATTTATTCAGTTGTCACTATAAAAATGATTCCACTGGGACAGAGGCTGTAGCTCAGTGTTAGAGGTGCTTATCTGCTAGGTAAATTTGAGCGTCTGGATTATTTCTCAGTATCACAAAACACAATGACTCTAAAGTTACATTAATTTATTTAGAAATGGAATTTACCAACATATGCATTCTTCCTTTCCTGTTTTCTTTCCCTCATTCCCCTGCTCTCCCCTCCATTCCTTTCCTCCTGTCTTTTTTTGGTGATCTAACATAGGCACTCACATTTGCTAGACAAGCAGCTCTCTGAGCACCATCCACAGCCCCTTCATTTTCATATTTTCTTTACTGTGGTGAGAACACTTAACCTGAGCTGTATCCTCTGGACGATACCACACATCCATGGTGCTTGCAGACAATGTTATACAGTAATCTCCAAAACTGACCTTGCTTAACTGAAACTTCAGCCTGTTGACACTGACTAGTAACCTTCATTTCTTCCTCATGAGTCACTACCACTCTGCACTCTGATTCTATGAATGTCATGTTAGTGGAAGCATGTAATAACTATCTTTCTGTGACAAACTTATTTCACTTACCATAATCTCAAGGTTAATCCACGCTGTTGAATATTGCAGGATTTTCTTTTTTTAAGGGTGAGTAATATTCTATTTTACTTATATAAAAGCTTTTATATTTTCTACAGAACATGACTTCAGATGTATTTTTGGGCCACATACTGTTTTGGTATTTTTTTGAGAAAGAGTCTAACTATGTAGTCCAGGCTGGTTTTGAACTTGCTGTGTGGCATAGGCTGGATTCAAATTTGCTATCCTTCTGCCTCAGCTTCATTAGTTTTAGGATTATAGGCATGTGTCACCCCACCTGACTGCCACATACTGCTTTTTACAAATGCAGCTGTACAAGATGGTCAATATTTTTTTGGTTATTTATTTTATTTTATTTTATTTTTTTTTAAATACCCGGGGATTGAACTCATGACCTTGTGCTTGCCAGGCAGGTGCTTATGCTGCTGAGCTAAATCCCCAGCCCTAAGATGGTCAATATTTAATACAAGCAAACAATATCAGTTGAGAACAAGGAGAAAGGCAAGGCAGTGCTTTTCAAGGACTCACCCCTCATGTTGGCATTCATGCCTCCACCTGAGGGACCATGGCTGTGACTGTGCCCATGGTCACTGTGTCCGTGCGTGTGGTGTGAGTGGCTGTGATCAGACGAGTGACAGCCTCCTTGAGAAGTTCCATGGCTGTGGCTATGGGCATGGCTAAAGGCACAGATACCAATAAGGTTTACGATCAGTCCTCCAACTGAGACTGGCTAGCAAAAGGAGAAAAGGAAATCTTTAAATTTGTAATTTAAAAAATGAACTTGTTACTTAAAATTATACAACTGTATGTTTTTGTTTATACTTTTGAAAACATTAACAGTAAACCCTAAGTTCCATATGTTAAAAGTGTGAATTTTAGAAGAATCACTTTAACTTTCAAATACCAATCAAAAGTGACAAATTTGGATTTATTTTAAGTGATTAAAAATGATATGTATTTGGTTTATAAATGTACCTGGCTTATGTATAAATAAATGGTGCAAAGTTTTTGTTTATTCAGAGTCTGGTTTTTTTTTTTGTCTTTTTGAGACAGGGTCTCGCTATGCATTTCAGGCTGGCCTTGAGCTCACTTTGTAGCCCAGGCTGGTCTTGAACTCACAATGATCCTGCTGCCTCAGCCTCCCGAGTGCTGGGACTACAGGCATGAGCGACCATGCCCCACTTTATTCACAGTCTGAAAGCACTGCTCAGCACGGCATATACACACTGCATTTCTACTCTCGGTTTTTTAACTAGGTAAATTTCAACAGTACCTATGGATAATGATTGTAACATATTAACTAGTAGGTTCTAAATATAGTCTCCTGTGGCTTCTACTTATTAATTCTTCTTGTGTCTTTTGAGACAGGGTCCAGCTAACTTCCCAGGCTGCCCTTGCATTTCCCATCCTCTTGCCTTGGCCTTCTGAGTAGCTGAGGTCATACTATGCACCACCTTGCCTGGCCTTTGCTATAACTGTGCCATTATAGATAAGTTTTCTGAAGTAAAAAAGGGATAATGAAAATGCAACATGCAGTAGCAATCTCTTGAATTTTTAACAAAGTAAATAAAATTATCTGAACTTCATAGTGCCACAATAGTACTCCAAAGGATAAACAGTTTACCTTTGATTATCTTCTTTCACAAAATTATTTTGAATAGCAGCTCACATACTACTAATTTACATTTATCTAGTTTTCTTCTTTAGATAAATTGATGTTTTATAAAAAGAAAATATAAAAATGAAGAACACAAACAATTTTAATCATTTTTTCGCAGAGTAAAGAAAAGATTTACTAGACATGCATGGGGCTTATTTACGTTTTTTCCCCCTTATTTACTACTTGTGACACTATCGATCTGGCAGAATTTAAAATTTCAGTTAGCTTTATAAGTTTATGAGTTAATGAGTAAATGAAATCAAATACTGCTTACAGAAAGCTATCACCTTATAAGTACTTCTTTCCTAGAAATTCGGTTCTCAAGAGTTACTTCTTTTCTAAGAAAATAGTGTATCTTCTATGTTTATATTAATATACACATAACATTTTAAAACCAATAAAATTGCATTATTTTTTTTTTTTGTCTTTTTCCTTTTTATCGGTACTGGGGATCGAACTCACGACTGCCTGCTTGCAAGGCAGGCACTTATGCCGCTGAGCTAAATCTCCAGCCCAAAATTGCATTATTTTGCAATTTTTCATTTTGTACATCTTGTAGATAATTTTCGTGCCAGTACCTATCTCATTCTTTATGGGCAAGAAATTTATTTAACTAATCGTTTCACTGGTACCCACAGGTTTATTTCCACTTTTTGGGGGAGGGGTCTTTTTTGAGATAGGGTCTCTTTATGCAGTTCAGGCTGGCCTTGAGTCTCTCTGTAGCCTATGTTGATCTCCAACTCATAACGATCCTCCTGCCTAAGCCTCCTGAGTGCTGGGATTACAGGTATGAGCCACCATGCCCAGCTATTTCCATTTTTTTCACTATTATAAACACAAATCATGTACTACTAAATATTTGTGTAAATGTTTCCGTATGATTTTTTTTTCTTTGTAGTGCTGGGGATTAAACTCATGGTCTTGCACATGCTAACCGCGTGACTTATTCTCTCAGTGCTTCTGTATAGTAAACACTAAAGGTTAAAAGATATGGGCATTGCTAGGTGTGGTGGCACATGCCTGTAATCCTAGTTAACTGTGAGGCTGAAAAGTGGATCATAAAGTTGAGGCCAGACCTTGTCTCAAGCAATAAAAAGGGCACAGGATGCAGCTCAGTGCTCCCTGGTTCAATCCTTAGTACCATTAAAAAAAAAAAAAAAAAAAAAAGAAAGAAAGAAATGAGCATTTAAAGATTCAATATGTATTTCTAAACTGTATCCCCCAAAATTTAATACTAATGTATGCTTCCAGGAACAAAATTCAGAACTGCTTTTAGTGATCTGGTAATTAATTGCTAATTTTCCTACTCTAAAGCAGATGCTATAATTAAAGAGTTAATGACACACTTAATTCAGGTCTTAAATTAAGACACATTTTAACTGTGGAAGAATGGCTAACTAAACTGTAACAGTGTTTCTAAAAGGAGACTCCAAGGTTCAGTGGGAATACTGAGGGAAGGAATAACTGGGATGGACTGTGAGGCCGGAGTGATTAAGGGTGGGAAGACAGGAACAGGTGAATAGAATCTTGAAAGAGGCTGGGTAGGGTGGCAGAGGAGGAGGCGTGCGCCAACCACTGGAAACAGACCACGAGAAGCTGTGGAAGCATGGGGAGAACTGCAAACATTTCTACAGCAGTGAAATAAGCTATAGAGCAAAAGCATCACACTTTAAAAATTTTTTTCTTCTAATTTTATCTTTAACATCATACAAATTTCCTCAGGTATTTAAAAATACATCTCCAGGGGCTGGGGATTTAGCTCAGCGGTGTAAGTACCTGCCTTGCAAGCAGGCGGTCCTGAGTTTGATCCCCGGTACCGATAAAAAGGAAAAAGACAAAAATAAATAAAAAATAAACAAACAAATAAATAAAGTTATTTACCAATAAAAAAATAAATAAAAAAATAAATAAAAATACATGTCCAAACAAAAGCATTTAAAAAGTCAGAAACCTATTTTTATAATATACTCTAATATTTGAACTACTGAGTTATTGGAGAAAAGGATTAATGAGTATCTAAGATTTAGCAATTCAAATATCAATAAATAGTCTTTCCTTATTCTTGGGGGATATGTTAAGACCCCCAATGATCCCAGCACTACCAAAAAGAAAACAAAAACCACAACCCCCCCCCCCAAAAACTCAGCAGATGAAACCACAGTCACGGCAAACCCTATATATACTGTATCTTTTCCTATACATATATGCTTATGATAAAGTTTAATTTGTATATTACCCACAATAAAAGTTTAACAGCAATAGCTAGTAATAAAGTGGAACAATTATAAACATGTAATACAGTTAAACTTTGGAATTATTAGCTGGGCATGGTGGTATACGCCTATAACTCCATACTAGGGAGGCTGAGGCAGGAAGATCGTCACGACTGAGGCCAGCCAGGGGAACATAGTGAGTTCAAGGTCAGCCTGGACTATGTAGCAAGACCCTGTTTCACAACAAAACAATAAACAAACACTCTGAATTATTTATTTATAGAATTTTCTGTTTAATATTTTCAGACCATGGTTAGTTGTAGGTAACTAAAGCAGCAGAGAGAAAAAACCATGGGCTAAGGGACAGATACTATATAGCAGGAAAGTAAGCTATTGGTTTCAATGAAACTAAAATAAAGCCTTCTAGATTAATAAACACAACTAGAAAAACTATGTAAGTATGAGTAGAAATTCAAATAGGAAAAGACTTACTGTCAACATGTTTGTGTCTAACTCCGGAGGATCAATCAATCTAGCCACTGACTCCATAAACACAAAAAAAGCTATTACTATTAGAAAAAGTCCATTAATGAATCCAGAGAGAATTTCTATTCGGCCATACCTAAGAACACAGTAATTTTAGAAAAAGAAAGTAAGTACTTTATACTTTAGTATAAACATCACTATTTTACAAATGAAGAAACAAGTCCAGAATTTCACATGACTAATAATAGAAAATTACTAATACTTAAATATCATATTAATGTGAAAAGTCCTTCCACACATATAGATATATAAAATTTTACATATTCAGTCTTTTTTCCAAAATTCTTTTCTAATTCTTAGCAAGAATTTATTTATCTTCATTAAACCTTTGCTGTGCTCTGCATCTGTCATGGAACATAGATTTTTGTTTTGTACCAAAATTATTTGTACTTTTGGTTCACCTAACATTAAAGAAATATTAGAGTGTGCTCACTTTGGCAGCACATATACTAACATTGAACGATACAGAGAAGATTAGCATGGCCCCTGCACAAGGAGGACACGCAAATTTGTGAGGTGTTCTATATTAAAAAAAAAAAAAAATTAGAGTATAAGAGTCAAATCTATTAATATAGTGTTCTTACCAATATATATATATATTTTTTTTTAATTTTTTTTTTTTTGTCTTTTTCCTTTTTATCGGTACCAGGGATTGAACTCACAACTGCCTGCTTGCAAGGCAGGCACTTATGCCGCTGAGCTAAATCTCCAGCCCTTTACCAAAATATTTTGCACAAAAGATTTTTTTGTCTTTTTGAGACAGGGCCTCATTATGCAGTTCAGGCTGGCCTTGAACTCACTTTGTAGCCCAGGCTGGTCTCGAACTCTCAAGATCCTCCTGCCTCACCCTCCTCAGGGTTGGGATTACATGCATGCACCACCATGTCCAGCAAAAGATTCTAATATTACTGTATTTAATAAGCATTTTTATGTACAGCCCCTTCAAATTCTGAACATTCTTTTTAACAAAAACAACCATGTATTTTCCATTTCCTAAACAAAACAAACACAAAAAACACAAACAACATACCCACCATGACCAAAGATCTTAAGGCTTTAATTGTTCTATTTTGCTTTTTGCCCATGAAAAGAATTTGCCAGAGAGTTTAGTTTACTATCAGTCAGTATTTATAAAATGCTTAGTTCATATTCTCTTATCTACTTCAAACTAAAGAAAAATGAAGATCTGAAAATTATCTCCATTAAAAGTAGCATTTTTATCCCCTTACTTGGAATTTGTACCCTGATTTGTCTCATTGTACCATGTTATCTTGATAGCCAAATACCTACCCATAGGAGAAAATCCGAGTTGCTTTCCATCGACTCATCAGAGCAGCAAAAAGTCCCATGACTAAAGCAGAGCAATCAAAAAGCATGTGGAATCCATCTGAGATCAGACCCAGACTATTGGTCAACACACCATAGAATAATTCCACAAAGGTAAAGAGCTAAAAAATGTTTAAAAACAATTATTAGAGGAGTATATTAGGAAATACAACAGAGATTTAAGATTTATCAGAATTTAATCATGAGGATTTTAACCTTTCATTAATCTTCTTGGAAGATCTGTTTAAAATCTGCTTCTTTAGTTAACTGCCACTTATGCTAGAAACCTCATTTTATATAAACTGTAAAAAACTATGCTAAATTAGATATATTCATTTTACAAGCTATTTGAAAGGAGGCATGGTAATTTAACTTATATCTGCAAAAATCAATACACAAGGCTGTAAAATGTTAGCGATCAGTGGTCTGTAGTGACATCCTGTCAGGCGATAAAATATCTGAGAAACTACTTGATTTATGGATTCAAAACATCATACTAAATGCTTCCATAATATCTTATTTACTTAAGTAGTCTGGATATGGTCCTGTGAGCCTAAACTACTTAGAGAAAATATAAATCTCAACCCATCTCTAGTTATCAGAAATTGTGAAGTACTAAAATGATACCATTATGTCAAAATTAAAATATTTATTAAAATTAAAATTATAAGACATGCCACTAATAATTAAAAATCTTACCAGATTCAAGCACAAGAAGTAAAAGATTTGCCTAGAGTCACTTTCCTCAAGAATCTGTTTTAGTGATTCCTTAATAAACCTAGGGATTGACTGAGAGCTATGCTGAAAAGCATCACCCATGAAGTTATAAAGAGGTGTTCCTTTAGGAGAATATCCAATAAGGGTACCTTTCTGTCCTCTCTTAGAGGGAGATGATAAGATGTTGGCAGCTACAAAAAGAAGAGAAGTATATTACAGAAGTTTTAAAAAGGTAAAGCTACCCAAAATCAACACAGTAACTACCAGCAAGCAATGAAATGCAAGGGCTGAACAATTTCCAAAACTGAGTAAATGATTTGAACATCATAATCATAAAAAGGAATTTGATAAATAAAATCAAAAAAAGGGGGAAATGCTTACATAAAATGAAGAACACAGCACTCACGACCACTCCTCCAGACAGGACGTGCTCTGTGCTCTCCTGGTGTGTGGCTCTGTTCATAGCCCTAAGCTGGTCTGTTATTGGGTGTGTCCAAAAATTTCCAAAAAGCAGAGCACTAATGAATATGGGAAAGGATCCACAGCGGGCATATTTGGAAACCTCCATTTTGACTGAACAAATAGAATCCACATAGAAATCCAGGATCATAACAAAAAAGATAACCGTTGTGAAAGGCATAATGAGAGAAAACCAAGACCCAACTTTACTCTAGAAATTAAAAACAAACAGAAACTGGTCAATATATATACATGTATATATAAAGTTCACACTTTGTAAGATGTTTTTGTTTTATGTATTAACCAACATTCTCATGATTCATAAAATGCTAACATATAAGAAAAACAAGATATTGGTACATTTCTCCACTACTTCCTAAAGTATTTAAAAGAAAGTACTGTTGAATAATTTTATAAATACGAAGTGATCTAGAATCTCTGAGCCTAAGACTGACTTTTCTTCACCTAATTCTTTGGGCCACAGGAATATAAAAAAATACATTATCATAGTAATATTTGACTTGTGTTCATTATAAAAAATAAAATTAGCTCCAAATTACAAAGGAAAAGCAAAGATACTTTTAGTCACTTCCAATCACAATGTAAAAGAAAATGCAATGTACTGAACAGAACAGTGGTGGTGCATACCTCTAATTCTAGCACTTGAAAGAATGAGGCAGAAGGATCCCTAAGTTCCAGGCCAGCCTGGACTACACAGTAAGTTTAAGGCCAGTCTGAACTACAAAGCAAGAGTGTCTCAAAACAAACAAATAGACCCCCACAACAAAACCACCAAAACAAATAGAAATTTGTAAGTAACAGTAATTTGTTTCACTTACTACCAATACATTCTTGCTCTTACCTCAGTTGTCACAGAAAGAACGATGACCCATGGGAACAAAAGAAGCACAGAAACAAGTTGAGATAAAGCCTGAAGCCGTTTGGCTCCACCAATATCTATAGAGAGCTTTCTGGAAGCTGTATGAAAACCAACATTACAGCACAAAGCCAGAACTAGCAACAGTACTCCACCCTGTAAGTAAAATGAAGTAAGTCTCATCAGAAACACAGACAATATTTAATCCTTAAATATATATTTGAAGAAGTGGAACTGATGTGGTTTTTTTTTCACATTCTCAATTATTTAACTACTTAAGTCACAAGGTATATTAAAATTACTGGTAGCTTATTTTACTTAATTAAAAAAAGTTGCTTTTTGGGCCAAGGCTCCAACCCAGAGCCTTGCTGATGGTAGACAAAAGGGCTACTACTGAGCTGTGCACCCTAGTAATTTCAATGCACCTACCCAGCTGTGGTGCTCACCTATCTTCCCAGCAAATGGCAAGAGAATCTCCATGAGTTTGAGGCCTGCCTGGGCTACAAAGTGAGTTCAAAGTCAACCTGAACTACTAAGACCCTCTCTCAAAACAATGTCATAGTTGCTGCTACTTTTCAGAATCTTTTGATCATGTTAGCAACAAAGAACATACCTTGTGATCTGCTACACCTAAGAAGGCAATTGCTGTATAAAGCATGTGAGTTAGAGCACTGTCATGATGTCCTTCAGCTAAGGAAATTACAGTAAAGGAAAAAATTCCAAACATTAACTCTGTGAAGCTTAAAGTCCTCTTGAAATTTTGGGTGCATTATTTTGGCTTGCTTGCAGACTAGTACTCCAAAACTGAATACCTTAAATAACAATGTTTTTCTTAAAAACAAGCCCAAGTAATCTAAAATTTAATTCTGACAAATAATTTGTAAGTTGGAATGCCTCCAAAATAAGTATTGTAATGGTAAGATACACTGGCTAAATTTTAGTACTTCACCTCCAAAAGACACACACGTTACACAACAAAGACAAGTGCAAGGCATATCTCTGAACCACTCCTGTCCAACAGAATGAAGGTCGTACTCTTAGGCTAACATAAAGTCAGTTTTTTTTTTTTAAAGACAGGTTCTTACTATGTTCTCACTATGCACTCCAGGCTGGCCTCAGACTTATGGGGATCCTCCTGTCTCAACCTCCCAAGTGCTGTGATTACGGGTATGTACCACCACACTTGGCCAGTAAAATCAGTCTTGGACTTGTCATCTAAGTCACTAACTACATATGTACCAGCAAAGCAAGCAGCAAGTAAAAGTGGGTGGGTGAGGAATACAGATAATATCACAAGCAACCTGTAGCTTCATTGAAGTCATGCTTCCCTCCCTCATTGTGACAATTATTTATTATTTTACTAATAAGCTTTTAGGGCAATCACATCAGTAGCCAGAAAAGCCTAAATGGGTATTCTGAATTCTCATGATTAGAGTGGGCAATGACATTTAGATAGGAAATAAGGCATAAAGTCGGTAAATGTATTTGACCAGAGAGGTGGATTTATGTAAGAGATGACTGGAGGCTGAGCTGGCAGCAATAATTTACAGCAAGAAAGTGAAAATCAGATGCAAACTGAAATGTTGGTATTATAGCACCAGGGTATTCTAAAATATCCTTTAAAGTATGAATTTCTGAACTTTTGGGTACTGTTAGAAAATACTGAATGCTTTAAAACATGTAACAGAATGAAACTATTCATTATATGAATAATGAAGATGTCTACATTAATCTATGAGGTTCCATTCATGACTGATCAGTTTAGTTCATTCATCTCTTCTTCCCCATTCTGCAGTCTTCTATTATTCTGCAAATTTTTATACAACTCCCATCTGCTGCAAAAGGATACGGTGCTCAGCCATTTTAGCCATGAGATCATCATTGTCAAAAAGCAATAAACAGATTACAGCAATAATGAAAAAAGCCGCTCCCCTGGTCTGAAAAGGAAAAAAAAATACAAGGATAGTGTTTTCAAGGGTTGATTCTTAATATAACAACTACACAAATGCTAAAGAAAAACAGTACAAAAATTTAAATAAAAATGACATTGAAGTCTTTATATATTTATAGTACTAATCGTAAGATATAAAAATAAAGTGATTCAAAAAAATTTGTAGAATATTTAAGACACCTACTACTGACAACCTTTTTTTTTTTTTTTTTTGTCTTTTTCGTTTTTATCGGTACCGGGGATCGAACTCACGACCGCCTGCTTGCAAGGCAGGGACTTATGCCGCTGAGCTAAACCCCCAGCCCCACTACTGACAACTTAAACTATTTCCTTGTTAATATGGCTAAGCAAACTAATATGAACAAATTATTAATGTTTATGGAATTAATCTTCTTAAATGTTACTTTAAATCTGGTTGAAAAGTCCCAACTAATAGGACTTTATTATACTGTATAACTTACAAGGGATAGAGGCCATTATAGTTTCTACTCATTCTAAGGAAAAAGAAATCACAAGACCATGCTAAGAAAATTAGAAAAGTCATTAAAGTTGTAAATCTCTTAAACTGTTAAGTTTTTAAAATTTATGTTCTCAATTTAGGGAAAGAATTTTGATAAAATTATAGAAAGGACATATTACTCTCATTTATGTAAATACTTTAGAAAGTTACTAGGTATAAAAAATCTAAACTATTAGTACTATATATTTTATATTTATGAATTTACAGATACTTTCCTTATAATATATATACTTATAATACTATTTATATTATGCTCCATATATTTACATGTAAGTACATTATAAATATACTGGGTTGGGCAAGGTGGCACACACTTGTAATCCTAGCACTTGGGAAGCTGAGACAGGATGGTTGCTGTGAGTTTGAGGCCAGCCTAGGCAACATAAGGGAATTCAAGGTCAGCCTGCACTATATGGTGAGACCCTATCTCAGAAAACCGAAAGACCACTAAAACAGAGATAATAATCCCTTACTAACAGAGAAGGTAACTGAGAGTTGTGCAGTGCTTCAGAATTACAGAAAAAAAATTACAAGAGTTCTAGAAAGATCTTTGATTTATTACTGAAAGGTTCTGGAAGATCTATACTCATACCTGATCATTAGCGCTGTCAAACTTTTTTTTATTGCTTCGAATTTGTATTTTCTAAATGTATTTTTATTCCTGCATATTAACTTTCCAAGATACTAAATTTCAATGTGGCACATTTTCATACATGCATATAACATAATTTGATCATATCCACTCGATCCCCATTGCCCTGTTGCGGTGACACATAAACCTATACATACCCAATTGTATGTGAAATTGGTGTAATCTGAACAAGGTCTATGGAGTGTACTGATGTCAATTTCCTAGTGTTAAGTGTGTACTTTTGTTGGATAAGAAATTATCTTTGGGGGAAACTGAGTGAAAGATACACTGATTTTTGCAATGTTCAAGGAATTTATAATCATTTTAAAATAAAAATTAAAAAGATGAAAAATGTTTCTGTAAAAAAAATGTAGAATAGTATAAAATGCCCCTGCATTATTATACAATGGTAAAAGATAAGATTTTTTGCTTTGGATAATATTTTACAACTACGGTTTTCATTTCCAAATCACTGATAATGGAAAATTTTACCTTTGCTGGTCCTCCTCCAGAACTAGTGAACAAAACACTGAGTAATGAGATAACAACAATGTCACTGTGTTCAAATAACAGCAGAGTCCTATAAGATAAAACATAATTTATGAAATATATCTCATCTTTATTATGAACAGTGAATTCACCTAGAATAAAAGTATTTCCCTTGGTTTCACAAAAATTGTGAGAAAATTAAATAGGTTCAATTATCTTAGAAAATATTTTGGTATTATTTACTTTAGAGAAGGTGAAATTAAAAATACTCAAAAATATTACTCGTAGGATTATATTACACAGAAAACACTTAAAAGATCGCTCATATCAGCTTTGCTTATTGTGAGCCAAAATGAGAAACAACTTATACATCTACTAAGAGAATAAATGATATAGGTTGGAATATTTCCACAGAATAGACTATTACAAAGCAGTATAAAGCAGGGCCGGGGGTTTAGCTCAGCGGGTGTGTGCCTGCTAGGCAAACGCAAAGCTGTGAATTTGATCCCCGGCCAAAAAAAAAAAAAAAAAAAAAGTAACAATGAAAGAAATTTTATGAACACACAAAAATACTGAATTTTGTACTGACATTAATTTTTTGTGGTGCTGGGGATCAAAAGGGCATTTGTGAGCACTCTACCACTGAGTTAGGTTCCTAGTCCCCCCACTTTTTGGAGACAAGATCTTACTAAGTTATGTGTTGAACCCCTGAAGTCAATTGATCTGCCTCAGTCTCCCAAGTAGGTGGGACAAGCGTGTGCAATGGCACCCAGATCTGAAAAGAGTGTTTTAAAAGGTAAATTTACACATAGATAATATTTTAAAAAGACTACTATAAGCTTGTGTGGTGGCACACACCTGTAATCCCAGTACTTGGGTGGCTGTGGCAGTACTGCTACCACTTGGAGGCCAGCCTGGGCTACATAGTGAATTTAAGGCCAGCCTTGAACTACAATATCAAGACACTGCCTGGAAAAGCAAAACTGAACAAAAACTCAAAAAAAATCCCAAACCAAACCACCAAATAAATAACTCATTATAAAAACGAATACCTATATACTAGATGTATCAAATGCGCAAATCTCAAACTTAACACACAGTGGGAAAAGTATATTATAGAAAAATACATGCAAGTTCCAGGAATATAGCTTAGTGGCATAAAGCGCTTGCCTGGCAAGTGCAAGGTTCTGAACTGGTACAAAAAACAAAAGTACATGCATTATAATTCCACTAAAATAAAAAACTTGCCACAGTAAACACTAAAAAGAAAAACATAAAACTCTATAAAGACAATAAAAAAGAATGAAAAACCAGACAGTGGTTATATCCAAAGGCAGGGAAGAGGTGGCAGACATAGAAGGCTCACAGGGTTTCAAAGGTATTTGTAAGGTTTATTTTTATTTCTTTATTTTTGTTTTTTTGAAACACAGGGTCTTGCACGTAGTTCAGGCTGGCCTGCAACTCATGGTGATCCTCCTGTTACAGCCTCCCAAGTGCTGGGATTACAGATGTGCACCACCATGCCTGGTGGTTTTATTTTGGTGGTTTAATGTCACATAACATTGATGTTCATTTTATTATTTTTTCAAACATCTTTATACCTATATTTATTTATTCTTATGTATGTATTTCTTTGAAAAAATTAAACATCACAAGCCAAAAGGAAGCTTATGGGATCTGAACAGTAATAGATTTACATCTGCTTATTAAATATATTTTCATTTTTCTCATTAACCAAAAAACTATAATGACAATGCATTGATGACAACTTAAGAAAACAAATATATCAACAGTATTACCTGACCCAGAACTCCTGAGATCTGGCCATGGTGGGACTCAGGCAGCTTATTCACCCGCCCTCTTTGTAAGCGCCTGGGGCATGGGCCAGGAGACCCAGAACTCCTGAGATCCAGCCATGGTGGGACTCAGGCAGCTTATTCACCCGCCCTCTTAGTAAGAGCCTGCAGCGTGGGCCTGGAGGAGAACCATTACCTGTGAGCCTACTGCCACACAGGCTGACAATCAAGCACCCTTTCTCCGCGTCCCCCCCATAGCTACTGGGGATAGATGTCTCAGCATCTCTTGGGAGGATGACCATATGCAGTATAGCAAATATGGGGGATTTCCTTCTATCTTCTGTTTGAAGGCATAGGTTGTTTTTACTGTTTTGTTTTATTTCTTTTGCTCTATTCAGTATTCTCAATTGGTTTTATAATGTTCTATTTTTGGTTTGATTTTGCTATAACTAATTGACTGGACAACTATTGTGAACTTAAAGAGATACACCATAGTACATATTACTACTATCCCAGTATCCTACTGTGAAATCCTGTACCAATTTCACTGCATTGTCTCGATTAGCTTTGTTCTGTCTTGTGCTGTTGCATTTTTACTACTTTCAAACTAAAATTAAAAAACAAAACAAAACAAAACAAAACAGTATTACCTAAAATAAGGTAAATTACGAAGTGTCCAAGAAGCATTTTGTTTTGTTTATGCAGTATGGAAGACTAAACCCAAGACACTCTACCACTCAGCTCTATCCCCAGACCTTTTTATTTTGAGACAGTTTCACTAAGTCACCAAGAATGGCCTCAAACTTGTGACTCTCTTGCCTGACTTCCAAGGATTACAGATGTTCACCACACCTGGCCACTACAGAAGTCTTTCTTATCATGGAACTACATGATGGTTTCAGTGAAAGACTGACAGGAGCAGCACTGTAAAGGTGAGAAGCAGATGACTAAGTAAGGAGCCAAGGAAGAATTTAAGAATTTACTTCCTTCCCTATCCTAATACATAGGAACAGTGATCAGTAACATGAACTAAAGCATAAATTTGTAAGTGAGAAACTTAAAACTGTGCAGATGCTAAGAAACAGCAGTACTCAATTACATGCAGGCATAAATTGAGAAAAGCTTTACCCCAGCCTGAGTCAGCTTTCCCAACCCTCCAGAATGCTGCTGCTATAGTTGACAGGGACAGGTACCTGCATTTATACATACTCTGCACCTGCCAAAGCACAGGACAAACAAGCCAATGGAACTCGATGGCCATGAGAGGGAAAAGAACTTTTCACAAGGCATTTCCCAACCACCACTTTCTATCATGCCCATTCCACTGTTCTGAGTGAAGACCTTTAAAACTCCTTTCATGATGTTTACACAATGTTCTTTACATTTTATATAAAAACATCATGTGCTTTAAGCATCCTTTAAGATGTGTGGGGGTTGGTGGCACATGTCTGCAAGCCCAGCACTTACAAGGTTGAGGTGGAAGGAACACTGAGTTCGAGGTCAGCATGAACTACATAGTGAGACCCTGTCTCAAAAAGCAAAACCAAACCAAAAAAACCAAAAAAGTCTTCATTTTAGTCTTTTAAAATTTACTTTTTTGGTACATGTCTATAGTACATTACAATTGCATTCACTGTGGGCAGTTGGTACATGTATGTAACACACCTTGATACTTTTTTAGGTCTCTTTCCTTTCCTCCTTTATTTTACTTTTTACCTTGCTTCAGATTCCCTCGTTATAATGGCAATTTTTTTTTTTTTTACCCACAAAGTAAAACCTTTCAGGAAACAGAGGAAAAAAGCATACTTATCACAGGTTCACATGTTGTATTTCCTGTTAAGTGGCCCTTAAGCATTTCCTCACTAAACTGGCCCATGTGTGCAAAAAGATTATATACAGATCTAGGGGAATAGGAAGTGAGAGTCTAATCAACCTACCACACTGTTACATAATGATGACTGACATCTGTTCACAAGCATATTTGCACAACGGGGCAAAAACAAATGCTTTTAAAGATTTGGTCTCCTTTCATTTTATTTATACCATTTCAGACCCTTTAACTACTAAATCAGCTGCTACAATGGATCACTGATAAGTCAGTTAAAAAGCCACTTATGCTACAAATTTTCTGAAACTCTTAGGATTCCTAATTACTAAAATGTTGTGACATAATAAGTACATTAGTGGTATCACTGAGAATTAGTTCATAAACTAAATAGGTTTTGTTATTGGCTATCTCTGTTGAGTCCTATCTAATACTACAGAAATGACAGAAGCATTTGTATAATATGTGACATAAAACAAAATATATGACATAGAACAAAATTACTGTCCACAATGAAGAAATATAAACATTCAAAATATGCTTTTTTATTTACCTTAGTGGTCCACAAAGAGTAAGGCCAAAAAACCACAAGAGTGAAATGATACACCCAGCAACTGCATGTTTAAATATTTTGATCCACTACAAATGAAAATAAAAAATCAAGTTTCAGTCACAAATCTTTTACTAAGTATCTCAATCTTAAAATGAACAGAGGAAGATGATAATGTATCACATATATTTTAAAGAGTAATTAAATAGAAAAACACCTATATTACTTGATGAATTCTAGAATTGCAAGACAAACTTTCATGTTGTCTGTTTCTAAATTTTGAAATCTTTTTCTACAGAGTATATTTTCCTACAGTGTATATTTCCTGTTTTCTCGGTTATCAGTAGTGTCTAGGAATACCTAATATTTAGTCCTTAAAAGTTTTTCCATTAGGAAAATTATTGTTCCAATTATTTGGAAATGTAAACGTACAATCGGGTTTAAAATATTAATTCTATTTTTAAAATATCCTTTATCTCTAAAACAGAAGTTCTTAAATTTATCATCTAATGAAGAAACCCTACCACACTACAGGTTTCTAAATCTTTCCATAAAGCATCACGCAGCAAGCATAAATGCTGCAGCACAACACACACAGGGTGAAGAGATCATGTAGACAGCCAGGCATGGTGGCTCACGCCTGTAATCCAGCACTCGGGGGGGCTGAAGTGGGAGGATTGTTTCCAGTTTGAGACCAGCCAGGGCTACAAAGTGAGCTCAAGGCCAGCCTGAACTGCATAGCGAGACCCTGTCTCAAAAAAGACAAAAAAAGAGATCATGTAGAATTTGGGGCATTCCTGGTATGATGCTGGAAACTCAGCATTGACGACAAAGATGATGCAAGTGATGCACCGACTGCAGCCTTCCATGTCAGGTACTGTTGTAAAGACTTTAGATGCAGACATTCATTATCCCTCACATTTCCGTTAGACCGTTGTTATTATTTCTATCTTATAGGTGAGCAAATTAAGGCAGAAGAAAATTAAGTAACTTGTTCAAAATAGTAAGATAGAGCATGAATCAATTTGTCTGACTCACATAGCCTCACATTTAACCCCACCTGCTTCCCAGTGACTTTATACTCTACTGGGGTCATAGGCAGCCCCATGCTGAATTTGTGCATCTTGTACTATGAGGAGCCTCTATTAAAACAGCTGCATATATGCTTTTACACTTTTTTCTTTTTTACCCTCTTCTGCTTTTTAAAACATCCCATTATCTTGGAATTTTATTTTATTTTTTGTTTGTTTTTTCGAGACAGGGTCTCACTATGTAGTTCAGGCTGGCCTTGAACTTGGGGTGATCCTCTTGCCTTCGCCTCCCAATGCTGGAATTATAGACAACAGCCACCACAGTTGGCCTATGTTGGCATTTTATACTTTATTCTTGAAGTCTCAATTCAGAAAACACAAGTCAAAAACAAGTGGACTCTGGAAATTTTCTGCTGTCCATTTAAACAATTCCTTAAGTATTCTCAATCAACAAGTGAGCACTGTAATTCTGGTCCACTGAATGGGAAGCTAGTAAGAATAAATGATCCTGAGAAAACCTCACCTGGTGTTTGGTAATAGGCTTCCCAGAAGAAAATGGCTTTTGAAACAAAACCATAAAAAATGCAGTCCTGTAAATAATGAAACAATAGGATTAATATTAAGCAATGTAAAATACAAGATGTGATTTTCTTTTTTTTTGTCCTTTTGAGACAGGGTCTTGTTATGCAGTTCAGGCTGTCCTTAGGCTTACTTTGTAGTCCAGGCTGGTCTTGAACTTGCCACAATCCACCTGCCTCAGCCTCCCAAGTGATGGGATTACAGGAGTATACAACCACACTCAGCTAAGATGTGATTTTTTTAAGAAACTTATTTTAAACAAATATACTAGAACTTGAAAGGCAAGCTAGCCTCTAAAGAACAGTATTGGATGGAAAGCCATATTAAATGTAATAAGGTTTTCATAGCAACATCTTAGGGTCTCTCTCTCTTTTTATAAATAGCTTCAAAATCAGTTCACAAGCCCCACATATGAAGATGATTCAATTTTTTTTTTTTTTTTTTTAAGACATAGTCTCCCAATTAAGGCTGGTCTTGAACCACAATAATCCTGCCTCAGCTTTCTGAGTGCTGGGATTACAGGCATGCACCACTACTCAATATTTTTTAAGACCTTGCAACCCTATAACTCCTATCTTCTTAAAATTCATTAATAACAAATCTTGATTCAATATAATACAAGTGAAGGAAGTGCCAATTATATGTCCGTACCTTCCAGATTGCCAGAAAGTTATATAAAAATGTATACAACTGCTTAAAATTTAATAGTCAAGAACCTTTCCCAAATTCCTAAAATTATATTCCCAAGAGTCTTTAATAGATTTTTATTAGAACAGACAATGGTCATCATCAATCTCAAGGCTGGAAATCTCTATTTAGGAAGAATTTCTTAGTACACATAGAATATAACGTTTATACAACATGAGGACCTTGTCTATGTAGGGATTGTATAGGCAACATTGACCAACATAGTTTAATTTAGGAAATCAGGAATACCTATGCTAAGACACAGATAACACTTTATGCCTGCTTAGTGCCTGGAGATTCTTAGGATCCTCAAGATCCTTTCACGGAGTCTGCAAGGTCAACCAATATTTTCCCCCTGACACAGGGTTTTGCCATGTAGCTCCAACTGTCCTGGAATTCACAGCAATCCTCCTACCTCAATCCTACCAGGTACGAGGATTACAGGTATGTTGTCACACAAAGTCAACCAATTTTAATAAGAATACTAAACATCATCTACCTTTTCATTATTCTTCAAGGAATATACTACACAGTGGAGTTTTTCAGAGAATAGATGATATGAGATACTATAACAGACTGCTGAAGCAGACATGAGAATCCAGTTGTCCACTACTAAACCAGATATTGAAAGAACTCTGCACCAGGTGCTGGCAAATGCAGATAGTCCCAGCACTTGGGAGGCTAAGACTGGAAGACTGCAAGTTGAAGCCAGCCTTGGCTACTCAGTAAGTTTAGGGCCAGCCTGAACTACATAGCAAGACCTTGTCTCAAAAACAAAAAAACTTTGCAAAAAATCTCATTAACACAAACTAAAGCAAGTCTGTATTTCTGGCAAGTGAATAAGAATGTAAGAATCTCTTTTCTCACTTGCCTTTAACCTTTTAAAATTATCAAATATGTGTCAGAAGAAATTGCACAAAATATGTAAAGTTTCTTAAAGCTACTGTTAAACAGGATTTCTAAGAAATAAAAAAAAAAACTTCAAGAATCTCTTCCCACATACTCACCCAAGTTTTAATATAAAAATGAACTGAACAATGTGAACAGTTTTTAGGAGATCATATGATTCAAAAAGTCCCACGGCTTTCAAACATTTAGTGAAACAGAGTAACACAGTATACTTTGTTAATCTGAAAAATAGAAGCAGAAACAATTTTTAGTATCACCGATATCACAAAGAACTCAGAAATCCAAGTCATTACAGAAACCATAGAAATACACATAAACAAACATGAAACAATGGTTTTAAAAATTCCAACAACTCACTATAATTCAACATTTTGATACCCAGACCCTTGATTTCAATGTATGTGGAGTAGAGCCTAAAAAAAGCATGAAGCTAAAAATATAACTCTTCCTGGTTTACTGGGCTGCCAAGTCTACTCTGTAATTTTTTTAATTTGTATTTTGATACTGCAGATTAAACCCAAGAAACACTGACTGAGCTACACTGTCAACCTTTCATATTCTATTTTGAGACTGGATCTTGCTAAATTCTTGAACTTGTGTTCCTTTTGTCTCAGGCTCTTGCTCAAGGGGATTATAGGCTGTAGCTACTGGGTGCTTGTTAGCTGCTTTTTAACGGCTACTCCAAACAAACCAGGTGATAAATAAAAAGAAGAAAGGAAACTCTGTGATGAAACTAGAAGACATTAAAATAGGAAGCTGAGGAAAGGTAAACGCCTTAGATTTGCCTCTCCTCTAACATGCTGCGTAACTGCAGTAAGGGTTGCAGTTACAAAGTCTGGTGACAGGACCTACAGAGTCATGAAAAGACTCAGGACCCAGAAGAACCTCAGCATAAGGAGTAGCGAACTGCAGAGGATCCTTAGGAAGAGAATCTTGCGAGTAATCAGATTCCAGATTCCAGCTGTGCAGCTTCTCTACCACTAGTAGAATCCTGAGACTTAGCCTCTGGCCAGGTCTAGACTTAAAGCAGAGGAAAGGAAGGCTGAGGAACTGGACTAAAAAGAAGTTTTTCAGCTGGCCCAGTGGTAGACATCTGTAACTCCGGCTATTTGGGAGGTTGAATTCCAGGCCAGCCCAGGCATTTGCTGAGACCCTGTCTCAAAGTTTAAAAAAGGATGAGAATGTGGCTCAGTGGTAAAGCGTTGGTCTACCATGTGCAAGGCCCTAAGTTCAATTCCCAGTACTAATATAGATAGTACAATTGAGGTTGTATGGCCATCCCTCCACTCACCTAACCTGAGCAATGCCGAAGGGTCAACTTCTGACCCTCATCTAAGGCTTACCACAGGGAGGCACAGATAACCAAAGGCCCCCAAGGTGGGCTGAAAAATTCTAGAATTCTAAAATAGGCCGTATGTGCATCAGATCTGTCTACAAGACCTGCAGTAATCTTTCTTCACTGCAGCTCACTGGGTGGTCATGCATATGGGCTGCAACTTACATACCGTATTACATGAGCACGAATTATTGGGAAGGACATGCATAATAGGCACGGTTGACATGACTCAGCACCCTGTCAGTCATGCTGCCAATCCAAAAACCCCAATGGGAGGCGCCCACTGGCTCTGCAGTGCTAGTTCTTCCCATATGCTTTCACCCTTCACTTCTATTTCCCTTCTAAAGTGTCTCTCATCATTGATTTGATCAAATAGCCCAAAAACCAGGCTTTAATCTCTCAGCAAGGAATGCTTTTAGAAAACCTACCAAATCTCTAATACTTATGAATGAAAAATGTATGTGCTAGAAAAAAACAGGACAGTAACATTGAAAATGTTAAAAAAACATCTCAGAGATTTTCTAGCCCAATTCCTCTCAAGTTTTAGATTAAACAGCCAAAGTAGAGAAAGCTGGGTAGGGTCAAGACCATGTGTGTTTAGCCTGCTTTTTAAATATATCACACAGAAAATCAAAGTTCATTCCAAAGGGTTCTGAGGGGTCTCATAGTCAACTGTTGCCAATTATATACCTATCACCTACAGGGCTGTGCACCCATTCTTCAATACTCGTTGTTCACTATATTCCAGATGCCAAACATGGCCAATGACTACAAAAAGGAAGGCTGATGAGGTAGCTTTATCTAAAGGTTCCTCTCTTTGTGATGAAAGGCGATATATCTGGACTGACTACCCCATCTTATTTTCAGTTTAAAGAGAGAACTTATCAAAAATGTATCTAAAACATTTAATAGAAAATGCTACATCCATTTGATAACATCTAAATATGAAAGCCAACATACTAGTAATGGCAAAAGAGACAAAGAATTTATGGCTCATATGGTACTGCCAGGGACTCTGAACATATACAGTAACAGCAACTTCCCAATTCTTTTTTCTTGTTCGTTTTTAGACAAGGTCTCCTTGTGTATTTCAAGCTGGCCTCGAACTTACAGTGATCCTTCCTGCCTCTGCCTCCTGAGTGCTGGGATTACATGCCTCACTGCGAACAAATAACTAACTAGGGAGGAACATCTTTAAAGTTTGAGATATATATCAAATATTGAGGACTACATAAGAATAACCAAATAAGGAAAGAGGATAGGTCAAAGGACTGAGAGCAGCATATGCAAAATCTAAGCACTGCGCTGGAAAGGGAGCCTGTCAAGACAGTATTCTATTTAAGCTCAGTTTACCAGCTGATACAATGCTGGGAAGTCACCAAGAAAACAGTAAGTTATATCTGTATGTATATCTCTATGTCCATCTGGCTATCTGTAAAATTTGTAGTGCTAGGGAATCAAACCAAGAGGCTCATGCATGTTAGGCAAGCATTCTCCCACTGCGTTACACTTCCAGAGTCAAATTATGTTTAAGTATTTGTTTTAAGAAGGTATAAAATTTTGTTTTAAGAATGTATATAAATTTCTAAATAATTTGTCTAAAATAGTAACAAACCTAACAGGTCTGGCACTTGAATGACAAGATTTAGTCAGATGGAACATTAACTATGTAAATACAGTGAAACCCTTCTCCCCGGTCTTTACCCTAAAACAGTACTCCTTGACAATGCACTACTGTTATCTGACACTTTCTCTATTCTCTTTTTAAATTACACACACACAGAGGTTACAAAAGCAATTCTGGAATACTAATATTTAAAAAGTTGTAAATAAAATTATTCCAAATTTCCTTCTCATAGGTAATCAATTTGGTACACCCTTCCAAAACTCTTTTTTCTCATATTAATATATGTATCTACATATTATTTTGAATCCATTCACACATTTTATAACTGTACTTATTGATACTGTTACATCATTATTAAATTAGAAAAATCAACATCTTAAAGTTAGATTACTTGATATTTATTATAAATTTTTAACAAATGTTTATTGTAAAGCAACTGTACTTCCACTTCATAGTGACAAAACAAAAACAAAATATATCCGTTACAAGAGTGTTAAAATATAAAATAGTGATAAGTCTCACCACAAAATTTACACGGCCTATATACAGAAAATCAGAAAACATTACAAAGAAACATTTTAAGGTGAAATGCTGGAAGATAACAATTTTCCATGAAAATCCTAAAGACCTGAAATCATCAAATCAATTTTGAAAAGGATTATTTGATATTTACGTTCCTAATTAATGACATCTTTTTGGGCTAAAAATGTAACATTGGCTAAGGTCAAGTATTCATATATTAATTAGCAGACACTCCCCAATTCACGTTAAGGAGAGAAAAATTAAATTTTATTCATTAAAGGGAAAATCTGGGGTGAGGGTGGAGGTGGAGAAAGGGCAGCAGCCTCTGAGCCACTGCCACTCTAGATAGCACAGGGGTGTTTAATCTACTTCCCTAACTTACTAGTCATTATCTGCCATTAAGCAGTCTCATAAAAAACACCACTAGTATTTTTTTTGGTGAAGGACTAGAAAATTCTCTGGTTCTCTAAACCTGGAATTATTGCAATTATTTGGGCTCATATTTGTTTCTTGAACTTGCACACAGTAGCTACTTACAGTTTTGTGAATTAAAAAAAAAATTAGGCTGGGTATGGTGGTGTGTGCCTGCGATCCCACTACTCAGGAGGCTGAGTTCAGCAGAACTGTTGGGCGTTTAAAGCCAACTGCGCTATGCAGTGAGTTCAGGATCGACCTGAACTACATAGTAGTGAGACCCTGTCTTAAACAAACAAACAAAACAACAAAACTCCCCAAAAACAACAACAACAAAAATGAGTTCAATTTGATTCTACAATACATTACATTAGAGAGGGAACTCTGCCAGGCATATAATGTATCAAAGATGTCAAAGGATTGCTAAACATATTTACATAACAAATTTACCTACCAATAAGCTCTTGAGTAAAAAACTTTAAAATTATTTGTTAAAAATAATTTCAAGTTTACACAAAAGTTGCAAGAACAGTACACCTTATACCTAGACACTCTAATAATTGTTACCATATTGTCCCCATCTGCTTTATTATCTCTCTCTAAATTCACAAAGGCTTTTATCCTCCTGACCTTTTTTTGAGACAGGGTCTCGCTGTGTAATTCAGGCTGGCCTTGAAATTGCTATGTAGCCCAGGCTGGCCTTGAACTCACAGTGATTCTCCTGCCTCAGTTTCCTGAATGCTGGGATTACAGGTGTGTTGCCACCATGCCCAGCCTGGACTATTATTTGCGAGTAAGTGAAATACAGAATATTACATTCCTTTATTCTTAAACACAGTACATATATTTCGTATAAATGTGGACGTATTTTCTATAAACTAGTAGAATTACTAACAGGAAACTTAACAGTGATTATTTTAATCTATGGTTTGCAGTCCTATTTTGTCAGGTGGCCTTTATAGCATCCCCCTGTCCAGAGCAGAATCCCCTAAACCAGTTACATGGGCCAATATTTAACATCTGATACACTGCTACTTACATAATTAGCTGATCAAAGTGGATTCGAAAATTAAATTTATACCACAAAAATGCAACTGGTTGAAGTTCTCTTCTGGCATATGGGGTGTTCTTTCCCTTCCACACACACAAAAAAGCTATTATTACAGTCGAAATGAATTTACCAAAACTATCTTTAAATTTCAAAGAAGTACTCAAGAACCAGAAAAACTTAACCTCATTAGAAATGAAGGCCACGAATACACCAGTTTCAACCAAAACGTTGGTGACATTTTATGCGCCTTTAACACGACCTCAGGACTTAGGATAGGTTAGGAAAGACACACGGGACAGTGTCCCTGTCCTATCCGGTTCCTGATCTTTTGTAGATTAGGAGGACTAGAGGAAAGATAAAGAGGAATTTTCACTTTTTGTTCTATTAATTCCCATATTGCTTGAAGTCCTTTATGAGGAGCATACATTTCTTGACAATAAAACAAGCCCACTCCACGCAAAAAGTAAAACAGCAAACACGAAGATGGGGCTGGATTTTTGACGTGTTGGGTTACAACCTGTACACTCAAGTACTTATGTTTGTTCTTTGGTTTTTTCGCATGAGATATTATGGTGCCCAACCCCTACATTGGGCAGGCAGAGTGAGCAGTCGCTCCACTACTCCAGGGAAACAGCACCCACACGGTTTCTTGGGAAGCGACGCGGCCGCCGGTCCTACGCTGATTGACGCTCCGCCCGGAACTCAGACCCCGTGCACAAGTTTCCGGGGTCTAGAACCCCTCAGGCAGCCCATGGCTGGCCGGAAGGAGCGGGGTTCCAGGGCTCCCGCCAGACCCGACGGAGGGCAGGAAGGTGAGTCCCGGGCCGCGGTGCGCAACCCGGTGACGCCGCCCCAGTCCCTTACCGAGCGCTGGGTACGTCTACCGGCCCAAGGCCGCCGCCGCCGCCGCCCGGCCCAGCCAGCGTGTCCCCACCGTATTTCTCCTCCATCCCGGACTCAAGAGCCGCCGCCGCTCCCCCGGCCGCTCGGTCGCCTCATGTCGCACGCTGCCGCGCGGCCACAAACCCAGGCACGTCAATCCCCCATGGCAGCGCCCCGGCGGGTCCCCCAGAGCGGGCCGCTGCCACTGCTGTCTCCAGCCCCGGCTCACAAGTACACGCGCGTCTGCACTAGGCCGTGGGTAGTTCCAGAGGCGCCGGCCCCCAGGAGGCCGCGGCTGTAGGTACGTCGCTAGGCCACGTCATCTGGCCCAGCAGCCCTCACTTCCTGGGGGAGTGACCGGCTTTGCGCACGCGCACAGCGCAGCATGCGCCACCCGCGCTCTTTCTAGCCTTCTCCCACCGCCGTGTGGATTCGAATCCCCACCCCTGTCTCTCCGGTGGGCGATTTGAGTGCCTGTAACTGTCTCTGAAGCATCATCTGGGAGCCATCACGGGTACATCGAGTTCTTGCATCTCGAGGGTTGGGGACAGGCAAAGAAAATGTACCATGTTGATTAGTGTTGGGATTCTTATTTTTGAAATTATTATTATTATTTTTTTTTTGCGGTACCAAGGATGGAACTCAAAACCTCATTTTTTGCCAGGCAGGTCTTTGTGCTACTGAACCAAATCCCCTGCAACGTTGGGATTCTTAATCTGGGGTACAAAACATAACTCGCCTCCTTGCAATTTGTAAGATAATGGATCAACATTTTCTTGATGAGAAGGTTCAAAGTTTTTAAAATGTGTGACCCTCAATGAGATAACTTTTTTAATCTGTAGAGATTTCTATAACAAATAGTGGATGTATTGGTCCAATGAAAATATGGGGGCGGGGCTTCTTTTATGGTTTGGATTTGATTGGGAGTTGGAGTACTGGTAATGATGGCCAGACACAGACAGGGAATTGCTGAAGTGTGTGAGGAGAGAATGTAAAGAGGGATTTGGTTAAGTGTGGCTATACACTCTCTTACCCTCTTTACAAAGTATAGAATTTCTTTAAATATGCATAATAATCATATTCATCACAGAGTATTTGTACCTGTACATGATATAATTTATTTTTTTCTCCATTTCCCTGCTGTTATGGTTTGTGTCTAGGTGGTCCCCAAGCCTCATCCAATTATGGAGGTGGCTGAATCTAGCATTTATGCTTAATTCATTGTCTATAACTGGGATTGGTGGTGTAAGTGTTGCACCCACTCTGGGGGGGAGCCCACATACTATATGAGAGGGAAAGAGGCATGCTTTCCCTCCGTTTATGCGCTTTTGCTCTTGTTGGTTGTGACCACTATGAATGGCTGCCCCTCAGCTGTGCTGCCTTGCCTTGGAGCCAACTCAATATGGACTGAAACCTCCAAAAACTGTAACAAATAAACCTTTCCTTCCTTCCTGTTGGGTATCAGGTATTTTGTCTCAACAACAAGAGAAAAGTAACTGAGCCACCTACCCTCCCTTCAATCTCATTTGTCAGTCTTGAATCTTAATAGTGTTCCTAATTGTGAGTCACTTAGTGACTGCCAAAAAAATTTATACACATTTCAGGAAGAGAAAAACTTTGTAACTTGTGTAACTAGGCATAGTGGTACATGCCTGTGATTCCACCAGAGGCTGAGGCAGGAGGATTGCTATGAGTTTGAGGCCAGCCTGAGCTACAAAGTGAGTTCAAGGCAAAACTGAACTGCATAGTGGAGCCCTGACTCGAAAAAAGAAACAAAAAAAAAATTTTTTTTGGGTCTTTTTCATTTTTATCGGTACCAGGGATCGAACTCGCGACTGCCTGCTTGCAAGGCAGGCACTTATGCCGCTGAGCTAAATCCCCAGCCCCAACAAAAAATTTTTAATACTAAATTTATTGAGACATTATGAGGTTAATACAAGTTATCTTTGGCCTCTACAATTATAAGAGGTGCTCAAAGTGAAGCCCATTAGCTTTCTGACATTTATTAGTATGGCAAACTGCTGCATCATTGAGATTACTACACATGCATTTTCAATTTCTTTTCTAAGGGCTGGCAGTACAGTTGCTTTTTGCAGTATATGATGTCCTCTAGAGTCCCCCATATGAGGGTAACACTATCTGCTGAAAAAATATCATACTATTTTTCTTCTCTTGAAGTATGTATACACTTTTTTGGCCAACTCTGTATATCATATGGTTGTAGCAAAGAAGGTGATGTGTGTTAATGTTAAAAGTATCTAGAAAAAATTTGGTATATGGTATTAATAAATGTTAACAATTGTGACTCAGTGGGAAATTTGGGATAGGGATTTAGAGATGAAAATAAGATTTGGAGTAATATAAGTTATAATTAGCCTATAAAATTCTACTTAACTTGAATACATACAAAGTAGCTTAGTGACATGTGAAAGACACTGCCTACTGGGACTTTATAAGCTGTTCTGGAAAATATTTAACAATTTGGGAGCAAGGGCCACTTGGCAACATTACATATTAAAGGGACAAATGCTAAGGCTTCTGGATAAGGTAGGAGAGCAAGACAGGCCTCATAGGCAAACAGAACCTGATCGGAAATGTGGGTGGAGTTTGCACAGGAGAAAGGCACTGGGGGAGACACACTATCAAGGAGAACGCAGGGGAAAGCAGGACCTTGAGCTAAAATTGTACACATACTCCTGGTTAGCAAGTAAAAGAGTGAAGATACGATACTCTCTAGCTTTATTGGGGTTTTGAAATTTAAGGTGTTTCATAGTATGGCTTATTGAGTTAGCGTAAAAATACCCATGTTTTTTGCCTGCACCTGGTGATTATTTTATTCATAGACTCTCAGTGGGATGGGCCAGGTGAGACCTAACCAGGAATGACAATCTTGCTTAATTTTCTCCAAGTAACATTTCTATAACTTTATTTTTTGTGGGGAGTAGCCATATTTTTTTTGTTGTTGTTTTTAGTACTGGGAGTCAAACTTAGGACCTCATGCTTGCCAGGCCGGTGCTTGTGCTGCTGGGCTATATCCCTGGCCTTTGGTAATTTTTATAGAATTGCTATTATTCAAATCAGAATGGCAGTGGTAAGGACTATTGTGATTTTCTAGGAACTACTTCCATTCTTTTGGAGCTCAGGAAGCTAGATAAAATGACATGTATAAGTTGAGATTATCTTTCATTCTAAGCAAAACCCAAATGTAATTGATATTTACTTTTTTAATTTTATGAAAAAATAAAACAAACTTTTATAACCAAATAAGAAGAGAATAGCAATAGTTATCATACTATGTATTTTTATTTTCAGAGTACTAGACATAGACCAAAAAGAGTCTTACAAAAAAGTGACAAACATAACAGCACAAACTGCCTGATTTGGTTAGAATCATAGTTTTCCCTTAGGCCAGCACATCCACTGCTTCTAATTTATTTTTCCTGATTGAAGAAAGTGTCTCCAGTTTTCTTTTATCCTGCTCACTTCTCAACCCATTCCAGTCTGGTTTCCATATTCCTCACTCCTTTTCACGGACCTTTCCTCCATCTTGCATCTCTCTGTTTCTGCTTGTCTGCCCTTCTGTCCATCTGTCCATCTGTCTTTTCTTGCAAGGTCTCAGTTACCCAGGTTCTCTTCAAACTTGTGATCCTCCTGCCTCAGCTGCCCACCAGCTACTGAGGGGACTATAGCTGGGACTATAGGTATGCACTGCCATGCCCAGCTGTCTCTCTTTGGCTTCTAGAATCCCGTGTCTTAAAGGAAGCTAAATTTTTGTGTCCAAAGGTAAATTTATGATCTTCTCCCTAAGTGGATCATCTTCTGGCACCATTTAACCAGTTTAGCAAACTTAATAACTTAGTTCTATCCTTTTACCTCCCCTTCCTTATGATCTGTGTGTAATGTATCTATCACCACGCTGCACATTTTTTATCTTCTAAATGTTTCTTGAATTACTCCTGAATTTTCTGTGTTTAACCTGGGGTGCCAGCATTTTTTGTTTAGACTGCTGCAGTATCTTATCCTACCCTTGCAGACACTTTCTTCTGCAGTGTTTTCCACATTCTGCCACAGTAATTGTTTTCCAACTTTAAGTCTTGTAGTATGCTTTCACCTCCATCCCCACCTTCCCATGGCTTTCCATCCCTATAACAAGCTCAAATTATAAACATGGCCAAAAAATCCTATACAGGCTTAACTCAATTTACTTCTTTGCCTTTATCTCATATTTAGCTTCATCCTGTTTTTTGAGTTCTACTACCCACCTTTTCCTTCCTTAATTATGCTATTTTGTCTTCCAATATAAGATGTTGTTTAGAATGTTTTCCATGCCTAAATGCTCCCAGCCCTAACATTCACACATCAAAATTAAGCTATGTGAGAGTAGGGATGGGGACCATCTTACTTCTCCCTTCTATGTAGCCCACTGCTCGACACAGAAGACATGCAGGAATTCTTGTTGAAAGAATGAATGAATGATGAAAATGGAAGGTGTCCATACAATTATGCATTCCAGATTATCTGTCCTTTCTGAAAAGGGTTTTTCTCCTATTGCATTATAAGCAATGGAATCTCATCACATACAAATTTAGCTTATGCAAATTCAACTATATAAACTCATCCCACAGAAAGAAGAGAGGGAGAGACACAATCTTAAGGGTGCATGATTCTGCTTAGCATTCCACCCAGGGAGCCCTAGGGTAAACACGGTGTGATGATGTGTGCCTCTTTTTTTTTTTTTTTCAGCTGGTCCCACTTTCTGGGTGCTGCTGATGTTATCATCTCATCCTAAGTGTGGGTCTAAGAGACACACCATAGACTTTGCTTATGAGTTTCCGTTGGTTTTCTTTTGCTCCATCTGGTGCCCAATCAAAGAAATAGCAACTATTCCCTTTGCAAGGGTGGAGGAAGAAAAGGTTGGATTGCAATTCAATATTTCTAAACTCACAACTGGACTTTCTGATTATCCAATTTCAGGGGTGTTCAGAGTAATATTGTGTACATGGCTTTGTTTTATAAGCTAATTTGACATGATCTGCATGGAATATGAAACTACCATGTGGTATAAAAATTTAAAAGTACAGAAAAGTAGAAGGAAGTATATACATTTAAAAGCCATACATTAAAAAGCCTACCTCTCAGTTACCTATGCAATAATAGTATATTTCCTTTTTAGCCTCTTTTATAAGCACAATGTTTTGGGGTTTTAGTTTGCATATTGTATATAACCCTCCCCAGCTCCTTAATAGGAAAATTTTAGATGTAGTTAAAAAACGAAATCCAAGAGTCATAAATTTTAGTATATATAATGAATAGTTCATATTTAT